CCAACCACTATATACCAATCATTGTGCATTCCAACTAACAATAACGGAATTTACTACAAACTACAATCATTCATTCATTGATTGGTTATTCCAGTACTAAGTATCAACAATATTGTTCCTGCTACTCAGAATTAGTTATTTTATGAAAATGGATTTAACAGAATCAAACATTGTGTTAAACCAATGAAATGACAGAATCGTGTTTGTCTGGATTTTGTTTGTTATGAAGCAAAACTATGCATGATCTATGTAATTCGTTTCAGGATGTGATAAAACAGATCCCTGTGAAATATCATCATTTCAGCTATTGTTCGTCATAATTTGTGAAAATGACTCCATTTCTATTGCTACTTCATACATATGTTATTTTCTACTATTCTATTACATTCTAGTATTGTTGTTTTCATTCATATTGGCCATTTCTGATTATTCCACACTTACCTATCTTATTTTCACAGTATTCTATTCCATGGAGTATACTAATAAGCCAAAATATACAATCAATCACAAATACACATTATTCTATCTTCTCATACAGAATAATAGTGATGATGATGATGACAAAACATCAACTATTCACAATCAATACTATTGAGAATAACTATTGTGAACACTTTTGTTTGTTAATACTGCTCATTCCTTCTCTCAGATTAGTACACGAACTAGCAACATTATTAGTTGTCACATTTAGAGTGTGAATTCATTATGGGCTTTGATACAATTCATATCACACAATATGCACTAAAATGAAACAATACACATTTGTTGTTATTCTATTGCAGATATTCATTTTCCAAGTATTGATTCAAAGTATCTCGAGACTATATTATACAGATTAGTCATATATCAAAGGAAATACAACAATACTTGTGGTAAATGACTGATTCATCCTTCCTATTTCTATTGATGAGTTCATCCATATTTGATACATGTCACATAACAAAAATGATACTATTTCACAATAACAAAAGCTCTTTCGATCAATAATAATATGCTTTATCAACTTGTAGCCATCTTAAACCTCATTAATATGGAACAATAGTAGTAAGGGAATGGCACTATTTGTGTGAAACTTGGTGGCAGTTTTCTTTATATGCTATTTTGCACAATGACCACAATTGCGATCCTTTGTCAGTTGTTGTAATCGATCAACCGATTCTGAGTGCTCGACTATCGTTCCTAGGCTGTTTGGGCGGCAATCATCGGTCAGGAACCAGGTTTCGTGCTTTCTCACGCCAATTCCTTTCTACTATCAACCTAGTGCTCGTTTCGATTGTTGTGTTTGTTGCATCAGTTATACTTGAGTGCAAGAAAGCAGTAGACGTACCTAGCAAAGGTGAATTATTGTTATTTCTCTTGTATTTACATGTTTGTTTGCTTATTTGTAATGACCAAAAGCCAATGTGTGTACAATTTAATCACAAATCTATCTATTGTTGTCCATGCAAGTCATAAGTGTCTTTGGTAAAGAGAAAACATGCATTATTCCATTCTCATACAAGATTCACCTATCAATGGTTTATTCGATTCAATCAATCCTTACAAGTTCAGAAATCCATTTATCACTTCTATGAATGTTCTATCCAAACCCAATCAAGTCATGTTCAATAATGTGGACTCAACCAATGTGGAGACAAACATCAATGGTGAAGAGGTAACGATCTCGCCTAGTTATTATACACTGAGTGAAATCATTGCCATTCTGAACACCATGATTAATACTACATTCTCAATTTCCACAATGGCTACAAGTTATGAGTGTATTTGGATCCAGTCTCCTTACTCTATCGATTCCACGAGGTACATATGATATCGTTACGATCATTGCAATGTTGAATGCGAGTGATGCTCTTTTTGAAGTAGTGTATAGTGGAGAAAAGGCATTTCGAGTCTATAACCAGTTTGTGATTTTTCCTCTAACACAACTCATTCATTTCTTGAATAAAGCGATTCATTTATCGAGGTGTGTGTGGAGCATGAATGAGATCAAGGAACTACGGAAACCAGCAAAACGAAGAGGTGCCACTCGAATGATCATTAATGGATTCAAACGAAACATATACTTCATCGATCTTATCGATTTCTCTTCCAAACAACACAAATCCATACAGGAAATATTGGGATCACAAAAGAGTACTGGATTCTCCAAGAATCATGGATACAAATATGTCCTTGTATGTATTGATGGATATTCGAAATACCTGATGACTCGGAAACTGAAAAGCAAGAGTGCTACAGAAGTCACTCATGCGATGAAGGACATCATTCAAACACATGGCGAATCACCAAAGCATATTTGCTCGGATCGAGGTACCGAGTTCACCAATGCCATCTTTCGTACAAACATCTTGAACAAGTATGATATCACCATGTATCACATGGATTCAGTGAATAAGGCAGTACTAGCCGAAAGAGCAATTCGAGATATCAAGTAAGACATCATGGTTCCTTCATTCTATTCAATCAATCAATGGCAAGGTGTATGGTTCGATTTGATCGATGGTGCAGTTCGTAGACACAATGCAAGGAAGATCAGAGACACCGGATATACACCCAATGACATTTGGCTTAACAACAACGATATCTTGTACACGGAGAAAACAGAACCATCCAACATGACAGTAAAGGACACAACACCTCAATTCGATGTTGGTGATTATGTTGGAGTGACACGAAGACCTCGCATTCTGGAAAAGCGATCATTGACGAGCAAATGGTCTCAGGACTTGGTTGAAGTGGTTGACATTGACGATCACATCATGCCATTGATGTACGAAGTGAAGAATGTGGAAAGCGATAGCACATAGAAGTGTTATGATTGGAAACTGCTGGTAAGCAAATGCAAACCACAACCAGCACCACCCATGACTCGATCCAAGAGTCGAAAGGAACCCAATGCATTGAGAGAGGCAGCAAGATCACATCGACCCATTACGAGCACCCAAAAGAAGAAGAAGAAGAAGAAGAAACAACAACCTCGCCCAAGTGTCTGAAAACGATCGTGATGCTCTTCACACCTCCCAAACATACAAGAGAAGGGATATTTGTGAATGTAGAGATCGTATGACTCTCACTTGTCCATTCTATTCCATTTAGCAGTTTGGTATGGGAAAGGGTCACAAGATTGTTGAGTGTATCGATGAATGGCACATCGAACAATCACACACCATCCATTGAAACATTCACCTTGTATCCCTTATCCACAATCGATTCGATGGAATCACAATGTTTGAATAGGGCATCATTCTCATTGTAACATGGAATCGATATGATTATCAGATATAAAGCCGAAGGTAATTGGAATTGGCATTGATTATTGAATGGTTGAGTGAATGTGTGTGTATGTTCCAACAGTGTGACATTATTGACTTTCACAAAACAACCAAAAGGTATCGTAAATGAATATTGAGGAACGCCATGCACTGTCTCACGTACGATGACATGTTTGCCGTCGTTTTCGGGCATGTTGATGAACATGTTATCGAGCTTCCTGAACGTGTAGTTGTTTCTATTGCTGCTGAATATGTACGACATTGATTGATTCAATTTACTTTGGTTGATTTCGTTCATAGGGTTTAACATACACACCCTTCAGACATGCACCATCATCGATAAACAGATCGGACAACTCGGGAGGCACTTCATCATTCACGACCTATAGACCACGCGTACATAGTAGTTGGAGAAGAAATAGATCGCACGATTCTCGGTGATTACACCGATAATGTGAGGAGGCAGTAAATCATTCCTCCAAAACACATTCAGAGGCACACCGAGCAGACCATTGGATTCCGATTGAGGCAATAGATACTCCCATTCATCCTCGGTAAACAAGGGAGAGTAAGTATTATCTAGAATCATCTCGATGCAATTGTAGTCATGCAGGATCAAACCACAGTTCACATTCGATTGTGGGGTACGAACACTGAATCCGAATAGTCTCTCTGAATTGATCGGATACTTGGTATGGATAATGATAATGTCGGCGAGTTCGATATTCTCGTCCTCCCAAGTACATACCAGGGAAGACCATGTGTTGTTCTCTGTTTTCTTGTATTTCATTTAATCAAAACGTGAAATAGGGTTAAAATAGATAAATATAAATATATAAATATATAAATGAATAGACCGACTCACACATTGAACCCCAATACAGGACGAGAAATTCAAATTAACGGAGCTCGCTTCTGGAACCTTCTCAAGCATGGATTTAAGTACAACGAGAAATTGAATCACTTGTACGATACACCTATGTCATTGAATACCACGAAGTACGTTCCCAAATCGAGTTTTATTTCTCCCAGCAATCGTTTCACGATTATTGGAAAATCTGTGTATACTGAGTACTCCATGACAACTATAGACCACGAGGCGGCAAATGGGTGAAGATGAGCAAAGAAAAGTCCGAAGTGTACGATAATGATTGGAACATCAAGAATATATTCATGGACGATTAGAACGATGATTCGAACGATTCGTCGTCCGAGTCTGATTACATCGACATCGATGAATTCGAATATGAAGAAGACGGACATGCGATTTTCCCATTCTAGGTCGGAAATCTGCTAACTATTTCCAATTCATACATTTTTCACTTTGGTCACTTAAACAATTTGCCATATATATATAAATGGATACTCATCGCGACGAATATACTATCAACCCTGAGACTGGACGAAAGATCAAGATTGACACTCAAATCTGGAAGCGATTGGCAGCCAAGTATTAAATGATCGATGGGAAGTTCACCGATCAGACCATTCCTGATTCACGAGTGTATGTGTCAAACAAGGTATGGATGAGAATATGAGGTCAATGGAGGCAGCAAAGAAACCAATACATACAACTCCTCGTAAACGAGTTGGTGATTCCAAAGGAGAGCGTAAGTATCTGATTGTGGGAAGCAAGGCATGGAACGAGCAATATCTCGAATATGAGTGGAATGGACATGAATTCGGTGAGAAGCGAAAACAACCGTTGCCTGAATTCATGAATACGGTAAAGAAGAGACGTCAAACACGACGAAACAAGTTCTTCACTCCGTTCGATTGCAAAGTCGCGGAAGGGCGCTTGTCGGATGTGATCGACTCGTCACTCGGGTATGCACTCACGTATTATCACACCATAGATAAGAACATGTTCATGGAATGGATGAATGAGAAACGAACCAAGAAGGACTTTCGTCTCAAGAACGATGATGACAAAAGACTATGGGTTCGACTTCCGGATGGAAAGAGCGAAGAGGAAGTGGAACCGATCAACTCGATGATGAACGAGATGGATCAGTTCAATGAGGTAGCGAAGAAGTACATCTTGAATGACATGCGCGATTATCCCAGTGTTTTATCATTATCATAGCATACAATCTCATGTGAACACATGCCGGAGAAGCCAAGACACTCAATCACACCGATGATCGATTGGGACACCTTCGCATCGTACGGCGAGAACGCAACGACGAGTGGTTGGAGGATTATCTGAAATGGTACAGAAATGCCATGGAGGAACAAGAGATCGAAGGAAGTGGATTTGAGTACCGTAATTGGATCGGTTTCCATGTCGAAATGTTCCCACTTCGTACATTCGTGGGTTAAAAACATCATACACCTTTGATCATTGGACGCACTGTGATCACCCCCAATATCTATGACAACCGATGCCTGCAACGATATCTCATTCTGGCAAGTGAAGGCGGACACAAGATAATTGCAAATCGCAAGATGGGCGATGCGAGTGTGTACAACAAGTGGTGGAAACAACCTGACAAGTACAAGGTATTCGGAGTGACAATTCATGAGGTGGAGGAAGCAATGGACATTTGCGATAACAAGGCATTCGATCAAAGTGAAGAGAATTTTGTGAGATTGGAAGAACTGTTGAAAGTCTCTTCCAATGTCTTCGAATTCACTCTCTTACCTGGATACGATGACAAGACCAAGGGTAAGTAGATTTATTCACGAGTTTTCAGATATACAAGCCGAATGGCAATGGAGGAAGTGTATCGCTTTGCATTGTGAATGATACACAAGAGGGGGAAAAACCCCAAGCACTTCTTGTACATCAAGGATTTGAGCGATTTCAAACATCGCATCTTTCGTCAGAGTGATGCGAAGAATTATAGAAATCTCGCAAGAAACACGAAGTGCAGATTCTGTGACGACTTCTTCGGATCTTGCAAAGCCGTTCATGCTCACGAAGTACAAGCACATCGAGAACTCGTCAATGAAAGCGATCAGTACGAGTTGTCGAACGAGGAGACTCGGTTGCGATTCACAAACCAGAGATACGAAATGCCAGCAGCTGTCGTCGTGTACGCTGACTTCGAGTCGGCCATTGATGACAAAAACAGACACAAGCCGATCATATTGTCTTGTTTGGCTGTGTCACACATTCTAGATATCCAGAAGCCACTTCGAGTCTACCATGCACCACACAAGAACGAAGAAGATCTTCGTCCTTTCATAGACTATCTCGTGCAATTACAAGAGAGAGTGAAAACGTATCTCTTCGATAAATTACCCCTCGAGAACACTCCCGAAATCGAGAGAGATTATCAGTCTACGTCTGTGTGACCATTCTGTCGTAAGAAACTGGAGGACGACAAGGTGAGACAGCATGCACATGTGGCAGGTGAATACACCACAGGAAAGGGAGAAGTACGCCACTTCGAAGCTGGGCAGTACATCTGTACCTGTTGTACCAAGTGCAATCTACAACTCTCGTTCAACAAGAAGAACTATCGTCTGCCAGTCTACTTCCACAATGGATCGCACTATGATTTCACATTCATCATGAAACTCATCGCGACGATGCCTGGCGGGAATCTCGAAGTCATTCCCATCACTGAAGACAAGGAAATGCAGATCGAGTACAATGGTATTCAATTCAAGGACTCGTTGAAACTCATCAGCAGTCCACTGCGTTCCATTGTGGCACAGACACTTGGAGGCAACCTTGATTTGTACGTGCACACCAAACAACAACTACGCAAGTACTGCGAGTCTCGAGGTAAGCAATGGAATGACGAATACATCGATTTGTTGACACGGAAGGAACCCATGTTCTACAGTCTCATCAAATCGTACGAGTCATTGAACAATACCGTCATTCCTTCTCGTGAGCAATGCATTGATGATATGAAGGGAGAAATGATGCCCCAAGACGAATATGATCACATGGTGAAGCTGTGGAAGACTTTCGATATCAAGACATGGGGTGAATACTACGAATTGTACAATGTACTCGATGTGACTCTCATGGCTGATGCATTCGAACACTTCCGAAACACCACACTGAATGCATTCGGTGTTGATCCCATGCATTACATCACAGCACCGCAAATGGCAGATTCGCTATTCTTGAAGGTCACAATGGAGGGCGATCATAGTGAGAGTAGCCTCATGACCCTCGCAAGGAAATGGGCTCAGTACATCATGCGCATCAACGCCAACGAGGGACTCGCCGAGAAACAACTGGTGAAAGTGTTCTTGAATCGCATGGGTGAATTCTATGAGAGCAAGGGCATTCGATTGATGGAGACAAATGATATCGATGACTTCATGCGATTGTTGAAGAACCTGCGAGGAGGAATCACACAGATCGTGAAACGACATGCCAAGGTTGACATTGACAACAAGGAGCAAGCAACGTCGTCCCAAGGCATCTACTACCTGGACGCCAACAACCTGTACGGTGGAGCCATGCATCGAATGATGCCTTATGAGTTGGTGGGTGTACCTGAACGACGAGAAGTGATGGAGAAAATCAATCGTGATCCGAATGGGTGGGTGCAATCACTCAAGACATTCGGCAAGTATGGATTCTTCGTCGAGTGTGACATCGAGGCACCAGTGGAACTCCACGACAAGTTCAATGATCTGCCATTCTTCCCCGTACAGAAGGCGGGCATGTACTCCGATGGAATCAAGAAGTACGCTGAGAAGAACGACATTGTGGACAAAGTGAAAGAGGTGAATACACCGAAGCTCATCTGCGATCTTGTGCCTCGTCAAAAGTATCTCGTACATTACTCACTGTTGCAACTGGGCATTCAACAGGGATATCGTGTCACTCACATTCATCACATCATTCGTTTCAAGCAGGCACCGTTCGTCTTCGAGTATGTGAACATGCTGAGTGAGAAACGAGCGAAGTCTAAGACCACCGTGGAGAAGAACCTGTACAAGCTGTTGGCAAACTCCACCTATGGCAAATTCGTTGAGACTGGGCTGAAACGGATGAAAGTGAAGTTCGCTAACACATGGAATAAACCTGATGCAGTAATTCAAAAGCATGGGTATGATATGATTACAGGAACCACCATGTATTCCGAGAATCTGATTGGTATCAAGCTGAACACACCGGTGCGCAGGGTGGAGAAGCCGTTCTTCATCGGGTTCGCCATTCTCGACATGTCCAAGCACATCATCTACGATTTCTACTACAACGTGCTCAAGAACACATTCGATAACGTTGAGCTGTTGGGACAGGACACGGATTCACTCATCGTACAACTGCACGATCGCGCTAACATCGTCCACAAGATGTGTGACATGTACAAATCGTTCGACTTCTCGGAATTGGATAACACTAGCTACTTCTATGGTGAACTCGTGAAGTACTATGAGCATGAAGTGGACAAGAACAAGTTCCCTCCATTGGACTCGTTCCTCAACTTCAACAAGAAGTTGCCTGGTCCCATCTTCAAGGACGAGCACAACGGACATCGCATTACAGAGTTCGTGGGACTGAGACCGAAGATGTACTGCTTGGTTGATGAGAAGCATGTAGTACACAATGCAGCAAAGGGAGTTCCTCGCAACGTGGTAATCGATGGTGAGAGAATGAGCGTGAAGAACATCGACTTGTACAAGCGTGTCTTCGAGGCCAAGAGGAATGGAAATGTAATCATTGAGGGCTCCTTCAAGAGAATCAATAATTAGGAATTCGATATCACAACGAAGGAGCAGACCAAGACACTCATGACATGCACGGACAACAAGAGAAGGATCTTGGACGACAACGTGCACACACTCGCGTTCGGGCATTACCGACTGAAAGGCATGTAAAGGAGATGTTGATTTTTACTTTGTTTTTTATCAGATAGTGTATAAAGGGCAGACAATGACCAAAATGGCATAAAATGGTAGAAATAATTTTCGCGCTTTTTACGTCATGGCTATCGAGGTAGCCGAGTTGACAATGGTCGAAAATGGCGACCAGGTAGAAAATAGGCAGCCAGGAATAAAATAGCAGAAAAAGGCGTCGTCGATTTTCGGCTAAGGTTGATTTTGGTGACCTTATTTCTTATGAAAGCCAAAAAAGTAAAGTTGTCAAAGTCACCTCTCAGACCCCGATTTTAGGGCATTTTCCTCATGGATTTGAGGTGTAAGGGCCTGAAAAGGGCAGAAAAAGGGCAGAAATATTTCTCGCGCTTTTTATGTCATTTACCTACTACTAGTGAATATTGATCGTTTTTAGATATTCCAAATCTTCAATATGTCAAGCTACCTTACGCTTACCAGAGAGTTTGGTCGAAATCAATATCGAGTATTGTGTTGATTGATTTGATTTCATTCATAGATGTTTCTTCCATTCTAGCTGATCATGTTCATATCACAATGGATACAGCTGTGTCACCAAAGCAAGCACCGTTATCTATCATATGGTAATAATAGAATCGATGTTTCTTTACCTTATTTCAATATATTTCTACTTCTTTAATTTCATTCCATTCCATTCAATGATTATTGTATATTCTCTATGTTTCTCTCTGCTTGTTTCTTTGTTCCACACTCCTTACCGTCATTCATTGGTCATTTCAATAGTATCCAAATATCGATTTGCTCTTTTTCTTCTTTACAACGGAGACTGTTTTAGTTTTTTCCACTTCTTGTATAAACAGTTGAATAAGTGAAATGGGTAAAATACCGAAAGTGAATGATATGACTGATACAATCTCGATTGTTTCAATGTTCGTAGAAAGGGTTGTTTTGCACTTGAAATATCATTAACTAGGTTATTAACGATTCAATTAGATTGTGAAACAAGAATTACCATAATTTTGAAGGATACGCAGTATGATTGATTGAATGATTTGAATGATGATCGTCTTTTTTCCACTCCTCAACAGTACTCTCGAAGTCTTCTTTCTACCTATTATTATTATTACTACTACAAATACTCTATTATTGTTATCGGAGTGGAAGTGTGTGATGTTAACTGCTTCATTTCGAATCTGTTACTAATTTACTCAAAGCTATCAGTATTCTACTTCCATCATTGATTTGGACACATCCCATTTGTTCATTGTTTTCGATTAATACTCATTTCTACTCCTGCCATTATGATTTTTGTAATTCTCTATCTAATAAACACTAGCCATTTTTACAAGAGAGAGAATAACCGATAATAGATCATACCTACTAATATCGCACTCTATCCTGTATTTTATTTTATACATACCTTATGATATAGATTTCTCTACAAACAACTCCCCTATTCAAACAATGATTCACATTGTTCGCACTTCCGAAAATCCATGTATCGTTATTAACACAACAAGATATCGATTGAAATCTAATGCTGACTCGACGAGTTTAATAAACACACTATTCTATCGCTAGTTCTTTCCTTCTTTTTTCCCTACTACAACAAACAAACAAACAAGGAATCTATTCTTCTTTTGTGAATATTTGCTTCTTTTCACCCCGTTTATCATAAAACTCAGTACTAACTAGCGTATTATTTTACAAATCGACTCTGATAGTTCAAACTAGTATTACAAAGTGAATCCACACAAACTATCGACCTTTCATCAATACCCACATACGGTTAGAAATAGATAGAAGAGAGAAACACATTGTTTTCGAAATCTCTCACAGAGTTGCTCAATATTCTATTCCACAATCTTCTCTCTTTTGTTAGTGCACAATTAGAATCGTAATTTACACCAAATTCAAGTTCTTGATATTCCCTTACACTCTCTTACCCTATCAAGCTCACTTTCATTTCTCTGTATCTTAGATGACTGCCCACCTCCAAAACTTCAACCCTTCCTGTTCATTTTCCTTCTCAAACTCTCGAATTGATATTACCAGGTTTTCGGAAATCACACTTCAAAAGAACGCAAAGCCGCCCAAACCAAACCACCAACACAAAATGACTCTGTCCTCAATCACCGCTTGTTCTCAACCTCCAATCACCCAACTCTACTAACCACACCCTTCCATGGTTTCGTTTATCGATAAATCACATAAGAGGATAAATGGGGAATCCATGAATGAATGAAACTCCCTAAACGTAGAAACTCATATAGATTTGTCTGTTCCTCTATATATTGTAGCTGAACAATAATGCTGTCAAGATTATTGCGTATTACAGCGCCTATTGCTGCAAGGTCTTGTGCCTTTAATACTACTGCTGCTACAAAGGCTGTTTTTGGCCGTTCGCTGTCTATGCGTGTTGCTTGCGATGGTAACGAGGCAGCAGCTGCGTCTGCTTATAACGTCTCTGAAACAGCCATCATTTTTCCTATCACACCCTCATCCCCTATGGGAGAGCATTGCGATAACTGGTCGGTTCAGGGACGGAAGAATATCTTTGGACAGCCTGTGCGCGTCGTTGAAATGCAGGTAGGCCTCGTTTGACTGCTTCTATCGTTAGTCTGAGGCGGGTGCTATGGGAGCCCTTCATGGTGCTCTGGTGGGAGGTGCTTTAGGTACCACGTTCTCCTCCTCGCAAGGTTTGATGCTTATGATTCCGGATATGTACGTTTTTGGTGATGCTGGCGGTTCTCATGATTAGGCTGAAAGTTGCCGGTGAACTGCTCCCCGGAGTCCTTCACGTGGCCAGCCGGTCGGTTGCGAAGCAAACTGGCTGTCTGTACTGCGATTACAGTGATGTGTTCACGACTCGCGGAGTTTGTGGTTTCTCTGTCCCCTCACCCCTAGACCGGCTTCAGCTACCTGTCCTCTCACTCTGTGCAGGAGGCTCACGATCTTGCCTTGGTGGCTCATATTGCTGCGTAGCCCTTTTCTTATGTTGTTACTAACGTATAGTCTGGAGAGCAGCTACCCGATGCTTCACTTCTTCGATGGTTTCCGCACCTCCCACGAAGTGGCTTCGATCGAGATGATAACTCCGGACGAGGTGAAGAAGATCTACCCGTTCGACAAGGCTCTGGAGTTCAAGAAGCGCGGATTGAACCCCACGCATCCCGAATGCATGGGTGTCGTGGAGGGTGGCGATACTTGGATGCAGCATGCTCTCGCCAACGGCCCTCTGCTCGCCAAGATCCCTGATAACGTGCAGGCGGCGATGGACAAGGTGGCGAGCATCACGGGTCGTCAGTACCATCTGTTCGACTATGTGGGCGCTCCCGACGCGGATCGTGTGATCGTGGTGATGGGCGCCTCGGCGAGTACCGTGGAGGAGACGGTGAACTATCTGAACCAGCACGGCGAGAAGGTGGGTGTGATGAAGGTGCATCTGTGGCGCCCGTTCTCGCTGAAGCACTTCACTGCTGCGCTGCCGAAGACGGTTTCGAGCATCTGCGTGCTGGACAAGACGCGCGAGGATGGCGCGTACGGAGAGCCGCTGTACGAGGATGTGTGCGCCGTGGTGAACGACATGGACCGCAAGATCAAGGTGGTGGGCGGCCGCTTCGGTATTGGAGGCAAGCAGTTCACGCCCACGATGGCGAAGGCGGCGTTCGATAACCTGAAGGCGGAGAAGCCGAAGAACCGGTTCTCGCTGGGTATCGTGGACGATGTGTGCCACAGCGATCTGCCTCTGGGTCCGAAGATCCACGTGGGAGGAGAGAACACAAAGCAGTGCATTCTGTACGGACTGGGCTCCGATGGAACGGTGGGCGCCACGCAGGAGGCCGTGAAGCTGATCGTGGACAACACCAAGCTGAACGCGCAGGCCTATTTCGGCTTCGATGCGCACAAGTCGGGCGGTCTGACGGTGACGCATCTGCGATTCGGTCCGGAGAAGATCACATCGGAGTACAACATCGAGAACGCGGACTACGTGGGTTGCCATACCAGCGGGTACGTGCACAAGTACGACATGCTGAGCACCATCAAGGAGGGCGGAACCTTCGTGCTGAACGCGCCCTGGAAGACGGTGGAGGAGCTGGACGCCAATCTGCCGCCCGCCATGAAGCATCAGATCGCGGAGAAGAAGGTGAAGCTGTACGTGATCGACGCTTCTGCCGTGGCGCAGAAGGTGGGACTGCGTCAGCGCATCAACATGGTGATGCAGGCGGTGTTCTTCAAGCTGTCGAAGGTGCTGCCCGAGGACCAGGCCACCAAGCTGATCGCCGACAACATCCGCACCCGCTACGCGAAGAAGGGCGAGGAAGTGGTGAACATGAACATCACCGCCATGGAGCAGGCCGGAAAGGAGCTGGTGGAGATCGACTATCCTTCCTCCTGGATCGACTACAAGATGGAGCCGCTGCACAAGTTCCCTCCCAACGCGACGGACGCCTACAAGAACCTGCAGTACCACGTGGCCATGATCACTGGAGACCAGCTGCCCGTGTCTGCGTTCATTCCGGGCGGTCGCCAGGAGACGGACACTGCGCAGTTCGAGAAGCGCGGCATGGCTACGATCGTACCGGTGTGGAACAAGGACACCTGCACGCAGTGCAACCAGTGCGCGAGCATCTGCCCGCACTCCGTGATTCGTCCCTTCCTGATGGACGCGGAGGAGACCAAGAAGGCGCCCGCCAGCTTCACGTATCTCCCCGCCGTGGGCGACGAGCTGAAGGGTCTGAACTTCACGATCCAGGCTTCGCCGCTGGACTGCACGGGCTGCGAGGTGTGCGCGACTGTGTGCCCTACGGAGTCGTTGAAGATGGAGCCTCTGACGAAGGTCTCTGCGGTGCAGAGCAAGAACTGGGACTTCGCGATGACGCTGACGAACAAGGGCCATCTGGTGGACAAGACCACGGTGAAGGGACTGGCCTTCCAGGAGCCCATGCTCGAGTTCAACGGAGCCTGCGCTGGATGCGGAGAAATGACGGTGGTGAAGATGCTGACGCAGCTGTTCGGAGATCGCATTTCGTTCGCGGATGCCATGGGATGCACGATGGTGTCTCTGGGAGGCACTGGAGTCGTACCGTAAGTAGTGTGATTTGATTTGATGTGATGTAAATTGAATTGGGATGGGTGTTTGATTCGCTGGCTCACGGGATGAAAATGAGGTCCGTGTTTCTGAGAGGAGACTCGTTGACGTGACCTTAACCTTTTCTGATGGCTTTGAGTGAATCAATGAATCAATGAATCAATGAATCAATGATTGGAAGGAAGGAAGAGTGATGTAAACGTTGTCCGTGTTTCGTCTGAGAGGAGACTCGCTGACGTGAAAACCAACGATTCTGACGTTCCTTCGTTGCTCGATGGATGCGAGGATGAAATGCAAATCCATCTTTCGTCTGAGAGGAGACTCGATGACGTGGCGTTGCTTTCTGAGATCCGAGATCCGAGATCCAAGATCCGTCCATCTCGCACAGCATTCCAAGAGAAATTCCAGCATGAATCATTGCTCTTAAACCCTTGCTGTGTTGAACCCTCTCTCACCTCCCTCTAGCTTCACTCGCAATCAGCGTGGTCACGGACCCACTTGGGGCTGCTCCATGTTCGAGGATAACGCCGAGTACGGCTACGGTATCTACAAGTCGCAGGTGGTTCGTCGCAACAAGCTGACCTCCGCTGTCGAGGCCGCTCTCGCCTCCTCTGCGCCTTCCCCCGCTCTGAAGGCCGCTCTGCAGAAGTGGTACGACGGTCGCCAGGACCCCGATGTGTCCATTGCCTGCTACGACGAGCTTCTCCCCTTGCTGGAGAAGGAGAAGAGCAAGCCTGAGATCAAGGCGGTGGCGGACTACCAGGACATGCTCCCCAAGGCCACGACCTGGATCCTGGGAGGCGATGGCTGGGCCTACGATATCGGCTTCGGCGGTCTGGACCACGTCATGGCTTCGGGCGACGACATCAAGTGTCTGGTCGTGGACACGGAGATGTACGCCAACACGGGAGGCCAGCAGTCGAAGGCCACGCAGATGTCCGCGGTGGCGAAGTTCGCTGCGGGCGGCAAGCGTCTGATGAAGAAGGATCTGGGCAAGCACATGATGGGCTACAAGAACGTGTACGTGGCGTCGATCGCGGTGGGTGCGGACCCGCGCCAGGCCATCAAGGCGCTGATCGAGGCGCAGACGTACAACGGACCGGCCATCGTGATCTCCTACTCGCCCTGCCAGCAGCACGGATTCCCGAGCAAGCTGGGAATGAGCCACCTGGCCGAGGAGGAGCAGCGCGCGGTGGAGTGCGGCTACTGGCCGCTGTACCGCTATGATCCGCGCCGCGCGGAGAAGGGCGAGAACCCGTTCCAGCTGGATTTCAAGAAGCTGAAGGGCAAGGTCAGCGACTACCTCGCCGGACAGAACCGGTACAACATCCTCGAGAGACAGCAGCCCGCCGTGGCCGAGGAGCTGCACAAACAGCTGCAGGAGGAGATCGAGAAGAGACACGCGGAGCGCGTGCGCATGGCGATGTCGGACAAGCAGTTGTGGAAGGAGCTGAACAAGGTGTACGGAAAGAAGTAAATGTAATTATGACCATTGACGGTCTTTTTGTTGGAAGAAACAAAGATTTCCTTGGAGGGGATGAGGACAATGCGGACCGCTTTCTCTGAGTGCGTTGTATCGTCCCTTCCGTTCCTAAGCGTACATGCTTTGAAAGAGGAGTGATTTGCAGATACAAGACTTTTCAAGATGTCTGTTTTTAAATAAGCAAATTCAGAGGGGTTTCTATTTTTTCCATGAATAATACGTAGAACTGTTGGATGCAGAGGTCATTATCGACTTGATACGTACTCATAAGAAGATGGAAGAGTCTCCTATTCCGTAGCAACACGCTGGTGCAGTTATAACGACTAGTTTTTGGAATACGTTACTTTCGATTCGAGATCCTAATTTTCAAAATAGATTAGCAGAAACATACGATTTTCATATACTAGAGGAGGAATACTCGGATATTTATTCTTATCTCAACGATACTTGCTTAATGCGAGGGGAGACCACAGACAGTTTGTTTCCTCTCTTAGTGTTAAAGTAGGCGAGATCGACCGTGATGTCATTCGCACCTTCCAGCGTCATCAGCTTTTCCGATTTGAGGAAAATGGCGGCCAGGACGTTTTAAAAAGGGTGTTGCGTCGTATTAGCGAAACAGACTGGGGTCTCGGCTACTGTCAGGGAATGAACAGCGTAGTGGGCGCTATTATAATTGCACAAATTGACCCAATGTTAAAGGCGTCGTGCTTTGAACAAAAACAAGAGCATTGCAAAATGTCTCCTCGCTTTGCTTTTATTATTGTAGAAATGATCCAGCATCCGTCATTGCTACAACATATGACATTTTCGCTCACATGATACATGCCTTGGATCTTCGTGATTTATGGGGTTTCGGTCTTCCCGCCATTTCATTTTTCACTTTCGCGCTTCGCCACTATCTAGAGTGATAGTAATTATTCCATTTAATTCACAGACAAACAGGGCCTCGAATTCTTCAGCATCTACGAGACATTAACTATGAACTCTCGATTGTGGTCGCTCGCTTGTTCATTCCACTCTTCTCCGATGTTTCTCCACACTCGTTGATTGAGCGTAGTCACTGCCACTGCATGTCGTGTTTCACTGCTGGAGCCTGCTTTTTGCCACGGGATTTTCGGCAGTTTTTCGTGTCACCACCGCGCTGCTGCTCCAATTCGAAGAGAACATTCTGCTCTGCGACAGCACGAACTTTTCGGAACTGATGAACTCGATGGGATCGGCGTATCTGCGAAAAGAGAGCGAGGTCGCTGCGTTTTACCGAAAGCTGAGCGAGTTGTCGATGGTAAAATCACTTCGATTCGCTGAACTCAAGATAAACGAATCCTCTCTGCAGACATTGCGTGCTTCCTTTCTCGAAAAGCAGCAAAGCCAATCGGCTGCCACGGTGCAGCATCTCCAAACGATCGATGAAGACATTCAAAGCATTCAAAACCGAATTCGATCGCTGTTTTCCTACATGACAGGCCTTCTTTCCTCCATTCAAAGCGACATTCAGCTGCGCCAGCGCTTTGTGTCGGAGCTGATCAACCTCCAGACCATCAAAACCTATTTGGCGTTGGATTACGACACGATTGAAAGCGCGTTGGGCCATCGAATCAACGCGAAGCAATCGAAACTCAAGGCGATTTCGGGGAAGTGGCTTTCGTTCGGGTTTTTGGCGGAGGAACGAAGAAAAGAAGAGGAAGAACGAGAGCGATTGGAGCTGAAGTTGCGATCGGTGTCGTACGAACTCACAGAGAACTCAAGGCGAATCAAAGAAGCCGATCTGACGATTCAGCAAATGGTGAAACGAATCGATTTGGAGATTGCAGGTAGGAAGAAAAAGAGAGGAAAGGTGAGGGATAGAATTGGAAGACTGCAATTTGCAGCGTGTTTCGTTTCAGAATCAGCTGTCGCAGCTCTACAAAGAACGATCCAAAGTGAATAAGTGTGATGGAATGTGATGAATGGGATTGTTACAAACACGACAATTGAATGTAAAGGTACAAGTGCATTTCCCAAACACGATTTCCTTGTTTTGAACTTTGAGAATGCCATCAAGAAGATGCAATGTCCACTTGGTTTGGCTGTGTCGGACTCTACAATCACATTATGCGAACAATCGAAAACGTTGTAAAACGCGATAAAATAAGTGAAGTGGTCGATTCCTCGACGAACTGATTCTTTAGCATTTCGTTTTCTTTCTTGGATACGAACTCCTGCACTCGTTTCAACGGATCCTCCACGGCTCGATGGAGAGGAATGGAAGGTTTTGGTGTTTTGGCGGGTTTTGTGCTTTCTTCAGGTTTCTTTTCCAGAGGTGGATTTTTTGTGGTGATTGCTTTTTTTGGATGGGAAAGAGAGGTGAGAGAGGTGAGAGAGGTGAGAGAGGTGAGAGAGGTGAGAGAGGTGAGAGAGGTGAGAGAGGTGAGAGAAATGGCTTTGTGTTTTTGAAGGGAAATTGGCTTTGTTAAGGATGTTAAAGAAAAGAAAGGGTTCAGGGAGGACTGGATGGGAGGTTTGGATTGAGAAAAGGGTGGTGAAGATGTACGCTTTGTTGTTGTTGTTTTTATTGTTTTTATTGTTTTTGTTGTTGTTGCTCCCCATGTTGTTCCCCCTGTTGTTCCCCCTGTTGTTCCCCCTGTTGTTCCCCCTGATGATCCACCTGCTGATCCCCCTGACGAGGAGGAAACTTGAACAACTGGCTTCTTGGCAACAATAATAGGAGGTAACGATTCTTCGCTTGAAGACTCGTCTTCACTGGATGAATAGGAATCGTATTCCTCATCTTCTTGCCCATCCATCTAAAAGTCATTGAATCGTTGCAAAGATACTTGAGGAATTGACTTTTGAAACTAGAATGTCACCATTCACTCACAATCCTACATTAAAAAACACGGGAGACAGATTCGAAGTGGTTCCAGGGAGATTTAAAGCCATAATATCGCAAGCGAGAATGGTGGGCTGTGTAGAGTTACGTTTGGTTTTCTTCTTTTTCTACCCTTCAGATATTTTGAAATATAACATACCTTTGCTTGTTCCGCCTCATCAGGTTGCCCACTCCTTTCTTTCTCTTCAAAACTGAGATTCAGAGTGCTGCCTGCCAAGGCTGTATACTCTTCCATCCAGCGGTTTTGAATCTCGCTAATGACAGAACTCTCCAATCCACTATGATCTTCTGCAATGGAATTGACAACGTCCTTCACCACTGCAGAATAGATGGACTGCACCACACTCTGCATTCCCTCAAAATGTATCTCACAAACACTCCACAAACACCCTGACTACAGCACATGCGCCTTCTGCAGATACCTATACTTATTCTACGCTCGCACCTCCCCCGCTGCCCTACATAGGACACCGCCATCACGACGGCGATGGCGATCACCAGCAGCACGAACGGCACAATCCACCTTCCGCTGTTTCTCTTCACCTCGTTGGTCATTCTCGAGTTCACCGTATCCTCCAAGAACTTCAGCCGCGCCTCCAGATCGACCGACAGCGTGTTCTGCACCTTGTTCTTCAGCGACGCTTCCAGCTCCGCGATTCGCTCCTCCGACACATCGCCGCGCTGCTTCAGCTTCTTTATCATGTTGTTCAGCGAGTCATCCACCGCTACCCCTCATTCCCCGCGGGAAATACCTACCCACCAGCGTGTGCTCTACCTCTCGCTTCAGCTTGTCCACCTCCAACTCCTGCGTCTGCTGCAGCCGCTCCATCAGCGCCACGACTCCGCGCTCCGTCGCGGTCAGCTGGCTCATCTCCACGCCGTTCTCCTCCAGCAGCTCGCGCAGCGCCCTGCGGTCCGACGCCGCGATCCGGTCGCTCGGATTCGACACCGCGATCCGGTCCGGGTCCCCCTCGCCTTCCACGGTTTCCACCGACAGGATGTCGTGGTTGTCCGCCAGCTGCCCGGTCGTGGCGCTGATCCCGATGGTCGCTTTGCGCCACCAACCCGCGGGTAAATCGATATGCTCGTGGATGCAGATGTGGTAGTTCCCCGTGTTTTTCTCGTCGATCGCCACGCGCACCATCCCGGTGATCTCCGAGTAGCCGATCTTCACCACCGCGTAGTTGTCCACCTAGAATCAAAATGGAGAAACGGGGAAACGGAGAAGTCTTGGCGTTTCTCGTGGAAGCGGTAGCGGGCGTAGCAGCCGGTGTGGTCTTTGTCTTGGATGAAGGCTCCCGTGTTGCCGTCGCCGACGTAGAGAGCGATATCGCGGTGGTAGCGAGCGAACTGATGATTACCAATTTGGGTGAGAGTACTTCCTTGTTCTTAAAAGTGGAGAAGGCAATTGCGAATCCCTGGAACACATCGTCCACTCCGAACATCTTTCCCTACAAGTCAGGACGATTTTGATAGGGGACGTGACGAGGGCGCTGGGTTTGGGTGAAGAAGACAGCAAAACCGTCACCAAAGAGATTGGCACCCTGTTTGTCACATAAAAGTACGACTCAAACTTGTCCACTAATTCGGAATTTAATTGTCGTAACCCATTCGGCATTCGTAAACGTCTTTCTGCTCCAGCAGTATCCGTTCTTACTTTGGCGATCGGGAGTCAGACGGACGAAATACTCATTGATCACCGCATCTCCTCTGCATTCCCAATTTTCGATATAACGATGACCTAAGGAATCGCTCTAGCGGCCAAAATGCGTACCTGACGAATCATACGTTGTAAAGGGAGCGGTAAACGATAACTGATAATTCCCATTAATGGCGACCACGCAGACTAACAAAACAGCGTACACGAAAGCTCCTTTGCACTTCATTTTGTCGTTTCTTGAGTCATTTTCTGTTTTCCAATTTCCGCGGTTTTTTCAACAAACAGCATTATTATTATTATAATTATTCCTGTAAACTCTCTCCGAACGCTCTTTCATATTCGTCGATATCAAAATCCTCCCCCACATCGGCCGCGTCCGCTGGATCCACTACATCTCGCAATCCTCTCCCTCTCCCACGATTCAAGTCTGTTTCGAACGATCGCAGCATGCTTTCGAGTTCTCTCGCTTCGCTGTGCAATTCTCCTTCCTTTCCCTCCTCCCCTTCCTCCGCTTCTTCCTCCGCTTCCGCCTCCTCCTCCTCCTCGGTACCTTCGCCGCCTCGCTCGTCTGCATCGAAATTCCGCTCCATTCGTACGCTGCTCGCGTCGTCGCATAATTTCCTGCCACAGCGGCGAGTTTTCGCGGAGAATCTCATTCTCGATGTCATCATCCACGATATCGATCGGCGCTGCATTTCTTCGCGTTACTCTCCCCCTCCACACCCTACACGTCCATCGGCAGGAAGTCGAGCACGACATGAAAATCACTCGGCATCTCCATCGACAGATCGCACTCATTTCCTTCCAAATCCAATTTAAACAGCTTCACAAATCCAATTCCGAACTGAAAACGGAACAGCGTCGTCAGAGTCTCGTTCTCCCGCAGATGGCGACATCGCACAAACACGTTCCCCTAAACCCTCATTTCCCCGCGGCAACCGCACCAACAACGGGACGTCCGGCTTGAACACGATCGTCTCATTCGTCTTCACCGGGCTGACCGTGCCGCGCGTGCGACTTCCCTTTCGATACGACCTCCACACGATTTTCTGCTGATTGTACACCTAACTCGAAGATCCCCGCGGGACCGACCTCGATCACGGGGCAGCACGCGCCGCCCTCGATGGCCGGCAGCGACGACAGCGTGATACGCGACAGTTTCAACGCGATGGGGGGCGGAAACTCCCCGTTCATGATGGACTCGAAGTAGTCGAGAAAGCGCAGCTGGGAGGGCAGCATGGCTTCGGAGGGCAGATTCCGCCGTGTCAGACACATGGTGAGCGCTTCGTGCGTGCTGGAGAGCCAGCCTTCCCAGCGGATGAAGGCGGCGGTGATCAGCATGGCGCGTCCGGCACCGGTGAAATCGTGCACCACCGCGGTGTTGGCGGGGTCTTCGGCGAGGTAGGTCTCCATATCGAGGAGGATGTGGAAGAGAAGGCCGAGCGAGGGGGCGGAATAGCCGGTGAAATTGTAATGGGACACCTGGGGGAGAGCGAGGGAGAGGAAAGAAGGATACGCTGCTGTTGAAGAGGAGATCATCGTATTCCTCTTCGGTGAGGTTGAAAAGACGGTAATGTTTGGAATGGCGAGTTTCGAGATAGTAGGCGATCGCTTCCCGATTGTTGACGTGTCCTTCGAGTTTCCGCGTTTTCGGGATCCCCGGAAAGCCCATCACTACAAAGAAGGGATTCCTCGAACAGAAAACCGATTATATTTGACGTAATATAGGTGCAATCTTCGGGAGGTTTCATAATATTCTCACTGATATATGCATTGGTACGTTTACTCACTACGCTCGTAAATCATTCAGATCTGTTACAATCATTACCAACATCTTGAATCGATTGCGCAGTCTAACACTTCAAACCCACTCTTTTAGCTACCTCTTGAATCACAGAATTCGCAGCCGAAAGAAGCTGACCAGCAGATTCCTTCGCTGACCGCAGCCAGTTTGACCACATAATGACGCAGGTAATACAAAGAAGAACAAAAAATGCTGCTGATTTTGGGACTGCATAACAAACAACTTCACACATTTCAACCTATTTTACTCTTTCAACAGATCGTTCACTTGCTCTTCAATCAGGTCGCGCAGTTCCAAATGCTCCAGCCATTCCTTCGGAATGCTCTCTACACCGTTCGCAGCTCCCACAATGTATCCCGCGATGGCGCCCGTCGAATCGCTATCTCCCGAGTGGTTTACAGCGTCCAGCAAGGCCTGGCGTGTATCCGTGGAGTTCAGCAGCGACGACCACAGCCCAATCGCTAATGCCTCCTCTGCAACCCAGCCCTCGCCCAGCTTTATAAAAGCGTCACATCCTCGTTCTTTTAAGCGTGCTGTCTCCACTGCGCGCTTCAAATAAGGCACCAGCTGTTTGCACTCTGGCTTGGTTTCGATGAATTCAATCATGCTGTTTGCGGCTTTTTCGAGGGGCTCGCCGTCCAAAAGGAGCCGAAGAAGCACGCATAAAGCACCACCAGAGGTCCAGCCAAGAATGTGACCGTGCGTAAGTGCGGAGGAGTCACAACCCAACATGTAAGCCTCCTCGAGGGTTTTGGCGTATATTGCGATAGGCGCCACGCGCATCACAGTTCCACAGCCCTTACTATCGTTCGCTGGGTGATCTGGAGTGAAGAATGTACCTTCAGCAAGAGCAGTTAAGCACGTTCTTCCGGGACATCGTGAAGCCGTTAGCGGTTTATTCTTACCGTTCTTTGTTAGCTCGTCGTTCTTCAATTCATCAATGTTGTAGGGAGCATTTTTGAGAAACTGATCTGAATGCAGTTGACTTCTGCTCCAGCGCAAATAAGATTTATGGATTTCCACAAGAGTATCGTGATAATCACACTTTTTCTTTCTGGCATTCAATAAGCCTTCAGCAGTGTACACCGACATCTGAGTATCGTCTGTGATCAATGCACTGCCGTTACTCAGGACCATATGTGTTAATCCCGTCGGTCCATACTTCGCTCTTATATTACTTATGCTCATAAACTCAATTATTCCGCCCAGTGCATCACCGCAGGCTCCAGCCAGTAAACAACCCTTCGCTCTAGAAAGCATACACGAAAAAAATAAAAAAAGTACTCTTCTTTCAGAAAAAATGGTAAAACCTAGTTATGGAGTTCAAATTTTGTTACCCCTCTTTCTTTCATGCACTGCATACAATATTGTTAGAAGAGCGATTGGAGAAGCCGCTCCTGCTTTGATCGAGACTGGCTTCTTCGAGCGCTCTGACTATGCTATGATCAACACCGTCTCTTTTATATTATATGGGTTGAGCAAGTTTTTCACCAGTCACCTTGTAAAGGGTAACTACTTCCTTTTGTATTCCTGGATAAGCACCGTTGTTTGCGTGCTCACATTCTTATGCGGAATCACTTGTTCGGCTGTGTATCCGAGTTTTCACCTGTTCTTCGTTTTGTGGTCCACAAACTACATTTTCATTGGCTCCTTGTGGCCTATAATCTGTATCATCATCAAACAGTGGATTCCCGATCATTGTAGTGGGTTGTTCGTTTGATTCCCTCTAGTGCGTGGGCTATACTGGTCCGTGATCTGCTGTTGCAGTTCGGTTGGTACGATTATATGTAATACTCTATCCCGAACTGTGAGTGGTGATCCAAAGCAGATATACTTCCTTTCCAGCTTCCTCGTTCTTCTCTCCCTCTCCTCCCTCTATTATCTCTTTCCCAAGGACGAAAAGAGCAATGTTCGCTTCGCTTCTCTTCTCTTCTCTCATCTAGACTTCCGATTCCAGCGACTCATCGCAGGACTACTCTAGTTTTACCTCTATTTCCTTTCCTGATATCCTCTCCATCATTCTCATCCTGCTCTCTGTTCTCCTCGTAATTCTTTATTATTATTACTCCATTTCTCACTCTCCAGAGTACTTTCAACCAGCGCCTTATTTCCGACTGGGGTTTGCTCATGTTCCCCAAGATCGTTCGCAACGAAGCCATTGCCGCCAAAAGCGCTTCCGCGATTAGCTTCATCGAGATCGGCGGGATTCTCGGCACTCTCTGGTGTGGCTGGTTTACCGACGCCTACATGGTGAGTCGGTCGATGATCTGCAGCGTCAGCTCCATCGCCGCGGGCTTGTGCGTCTCCGCGCTGAGCACCGCCGAGAAGGAGCGTTTGTTCGAAGGCGCGTGCTTCCTGCTGGGCTTCTTTTTGTACATTCCCTACTCGTTCAGCGAACTGATTGCATTGGAAAGCGTGGACAGTCGCTACACGAACTTCATGATCAGCATGAACGGGCTGATGTCCCCGCTGGGAAGCGTGTTTTCTGGAATTCCGGTGAATCGGATGATCGAGCGAATGGGGTGGAGGTTCCTCCCTCGGTTCCTGCTGTACATGTTCGTTACGTTTGCTTTGTTGCTGTGGTTCAATTCGATTGTGCGGAGAGTGGGAAAGGACAGCAAGGAGATTTGTGATGTTTGTTCGAACTAACAGAAAACGATTTGATTTCGCGATAGATCGCTTCAGCGCATTGCGAAAACTCGCCGCCCAGGCGTTTTAGCAGATTGGGATAGAGCTGGCTGCGATCGATGGAGTCTATGGCTTATTCCGCCGCATTGTGAAGACTGTTAAACAGCAGATCGTCCACATGATCGATGTGCACCGGAATAAACTGCTGCAGTGCGATCCACGAATGCATTGCTTCAACTCTGCAGTGAAGGAGCCATTCATTTGGTTGTGAGTGAGTTTATTGTTGTTTAATTCAACTCATTTCAAGTTTCAATTCAAGTTTCAATTCAAGTTTCAATTCAAGTTTCAATTCAAGTTTCAATTCAAGTTTCGATTTCAATTCATTTCAATTAAGTTTCAATTTCAATATTGATGATGATGATGATTCTGTGAAAAGGATATGAATAGAGTGAGAGCGAGGCCACACACATCGGAATACTCTTCATCGTCCCGCACGAGCGCGACAGATCCAAGCACACTCGCTCATACTCATCCGTCGCCAGCAATCCGTTCGATTCTTCCACGAATTCCATTTCATTCCGCGTCGATTCGCTCACATTCCCCAGCGACGCCAGCACGATTCGATTCGAATTCTCCTCCATCTCCCCCAAAATCGGGTGTTGCGAACTGTACCGATCGTACACCGAATCCCACTGTTTCCACGATTCCAAAGACCGCAGTGGTGGTAGAGGGTTCTCCGTTTCCACCTTGGTTCCACGCATTTCGCTCTCCAGTTCTGGAGGCAAAACCGAGACGCGACGACGCGAACCGATCTGGGCATTGCCCGGCGATGCCGGGATTTCCTGCTTCTGAAGCTGCGCGGCGTGTTTGATCAGCAAGTGTTTGGATTCGAAGAGTTCTCTGGAGTCGGGGAACACGCTACGGTCGATCGAGAGAAGATGATCTACTCCATGGGGTGGACGACGGGATACACGCTCTGCTGAGGGTCCAGCAAGTATTTCTAGAGAGAATGCAGGAAGAGGAATACGAGGAAGGCGGGATAGTGGGCGTTCTCGAAGCCTTCTCGCTCGGGACAGACGGAATCGAGCAGAACGAGGGCTGGGTGAGCTAATAGAACGCAGCCCTTGTAGGATGATTGATTGGGGGGAAGAAGAGTGGGGTTGAGACGATCATAAAACTCACGGACTAGGAATGAACAAAGAAAAGGAGTTGTATCTTCACGGGGTGCAGGGAGAGATGGCTCTGCGAAATAGTCCTTGTTCTTTGCGTGGTTTAGTTGGTGATTGAGATAATCTGTGAGTCGGAGAAGGATGTTAATATTCCTGTTTGTTAGGAGACATGATAAAAACGACGATTCTTCACTTGAGAAGTCGGCGTCTTCCTCCGCCTTCTTTTTGATGAACGCTGTAAGCGATGTTCCAAACGTATAAACTGGCCGATCTCTAGATATTACAAAATAAAAAGAAAAACTACTGAAGGAACTCGCTAAGCAGAGTTTGACAACCAGTGAGTTCTTTCTGATTTCCATTCTTGATTTTGCGATAATAATAGACGAGAGAATCTTGAGTCAACAAACACTTTCAAATGAATGCAGCAAACACGATCTCTACCTTAAGCACAGGCTCCTTGTCAAACAATGCAGCCTTCTTGAGGAGTGAGTAATAGATCCCTCTTGCGAGGTTTGAATACATGATTCAAACAAACAATACACCTTAATTGACGGTTCAAACTATCACTCCGACTTCTACTCCTTCCCCGAAGAGGTGTCGAGTTGGGGCTTGTATTGGGGCTTGAATTAGGGCTGGGACTGGGGCTAGGGCTAGGGCTTCGGCTACGATTCCAACTTGGACTTCTGCTTCTGCTTCGATTTCGATATCGATTGTGGCTTTGGTTTTGATATTGGTATTGACTTTGGTTCTGATTCTGATTCTGGTTAGGGTTTTGGCTTTGGCTTTGGTTTTGGTTTTGGTTTCGACTCCGATTGGCAATCGCACCTCCCTCCTGGCTTTCACCCGTTATGCTTCGCCTCCTCTTTCCTCCTCGCACAGGAGAAGACGTTCGGCTAGTCGATGACGCAGAATCGCTGGAGGATGCGCGATGATCGAAATAGTATTCCACGAAGAACTTTCTTCCCTTGAGGGTCTATTCTCATCGAATTCGTCGAAGCCTACGCCTCCTTTCAGCTGAGAGAACGCAGATTCGCAATCCGAAGAGGACTTGAAAGTGAGGACAGCGCTCTTCCGATCAGGCTTGTTGGCGGATGTGAAAAACTTGAGTGAGTATTCGGATTTGATTTGTAAAAGTTCTTTGCGAAAAGTCTCTTCCGATAAATCGACTGGAACGTTGTGAAGACGAATGGAGGTCGGTGCTCCTTTTTCTTCTTTGGGTGACGATTTGGATGGGCTAGGATCCTTGAAATAGGGGAGCTGCAGCTTATAGAGAAAATGCTTGAGATCTTGACTGATTGGCACAACTCGTAGACTTTTATCGTCAAGAATCTGGGAAAATTGAAACACCAATGTCCTACTCTGCCATTCATATTGAGAGCGAAATCAACGGACTGCTCATTTTGAAAAAAGACAACTGCAGTATCTTGAGCTTCTCCAGATTGTTGATTCCGAATTACCTAGCGTATAGAGCCCGCAGAGAACACGGTACATTACAATGCGCAATTTCACCACATTCACGGAACAAATCATACAATTCGGTGTCTCCATATCGGTAGGGAATGCCTATTAATTCACGGATCGTCTCCAAATATACCGAACGCAACCACCCCCAGCTTTTCCATTTCAAAAAAGATTTGTGCATAGCAAACAAACAAACAAATCACCAAGCAAACAAACGTACTGTTCAACAAACAAAAGAGTCCAAAAGAACCTCCCGCTTACGAATTATTCTCTCTTGGCAGCAGCCTCGGCACGAGCCTGACGGGCAGCAAAGTTGTTGGGACCCACTCTCTTCGCGCCAGGAGCCAACACAACGTTTACATATCTGCGGTTGTACTGCTCTCGCTTCTACCACTCACATCGACCTCCATTCCCCTACCTTAGCACGACCCACGTGGGACTTCGCCTTCTCCTGCTTGTCGACCTTGGGAGTCTGGTTCTTCACCTTTCCGGCACGAGTCAGAGAACCGTGCACCTTACCACCTCCACGCAGACGGAGCACCAAGTGCAGGGTCGACTCCTTCTGAATGTTGTAGTCAGAGAGGGTGCGGCCATCCTCAAGCTGCTTTCCAGCGAAAATCAGACGCTGCTGATCTGGGGGAATTCCCTCCTTGTCCTGAATCTTAGCCTTCACGTTCTCGATCGTATCGGAGGACTCGACGTCGAGAGTAATAGTCTTTCCTGCAAATTACAAAAACCCACGACGCAGCCTTACCAGTAAGAGTCTTGACGAAAATTTGCATTGTAAGCCTATTTGTAACCTCAACAGCACTACTTCTTACTTCTTTCGAACGATTATGAGATTACCATATTTCTTAATACGGGACAAGCTTTAACATATGGCCCAATTAGGGTTGTCCCGATTATTGCTCTATTCTATTTCTCCTTGATTACTGATTTTACAATAGATTTAACACACCAGAGTCATAGTAGGGTGTTTGAAGAAACAGGATTAGGAGCGTTTTGATCTAATTACAATGATACACAGATAGAGAAGAACAAGAAGGCAGAAAAAGACCAGGAATATCATAGAGCGCTTTTTCAAATTGTCTCTTGGAAGGAGCTGCATCACTTGGCCGTGGTTCTGGCCTCCAATTACGTAGCTCGGCTATCCATCAATCTCTGCAAACAGCTCAATTTACCGTGGATTCTTCTTCTTCGAGCCGAATATTCATTTTCCTTGATTCGTCAGGTAGCCAAAAATAATTGTAATTGAACACAATTTCTGAGCCCCGCGGTTATTCCGTTATTCTCTAGGTGATGTAAAATAGGCTATTATTCAAGATGCCGCGTACTATTGTTGATGTTGATCTCACGAATCCCCAGTTTTCTGGTTTTCTGATGAAGCAGAGTGAGGATCTTTCAGGATTTAGTGAGTGGCGTAGGTATGTGGTTGAAGACATGGAGAAAGCGATTCTTTATTCTGAAGGGTAATAAACTTTATTTTTCCAAGGGAACGAGAGTAATTTGGCTGTTTTGGGGCATTCACAATGGTAGGAGCCGCCACATGGAGTGATTGATTTGTCGAGATGCCAGACAGTAAAATCAGCCGATGAAAAGACACATAAGAAGTACTTTTTTTGTTTGTTGTTAGTTTATGTATAGGCATAGCATTGAAGTCTCGACGACAGAGCAGACGTATTATATGTATGCCTCATCGGAGAAGGATAAGGACGAGTGGATCGGTGCAATTGGCCGGTACATGAACTTGTTGTTCCTGACCCCTAGTGCTATTGTCCAGGCAACGATTGCGGAACACGACTAATCTCTGTACTTTTGTCAATGTTTGTTGAAAACAATTCCAGCGAGCCGACTCTCTTTCGTTACCACGCAAAGTCTCCTTCGCTCTTCGGTATGTCCACCATTTCCGGCATTATCATCGGAGCAGGTACCGGCGAATTCTGCGATTGTCCTGGTTTGGGAGGTAGCGGTTTTCCTGGCGGCGTTGGCAGAGGACGTGCCGGTTTCCCTGGTTTCTCCGGTCTCTCCGGTCTTTCTGGTCTCTCCGGTCTCGGCGGTAGTGGCTTTCCTGGAGGCGTAGGCAACGGACGCGATGGTTTCGCGGGCAAAGTATCCTGTCCGGGAACTCCAGGCAACGGTTTCCCCGGTTTTCCTGGTCTCTCAGGTCTCTCAGGTCTCTCAGGTCTCTCAGGTCGCTCAGGTCGCTCAGGTCGCTGCGGCTTGGCGGGCTTTCCGGGTCTCTGCGGCTTGGCGGGAGCGAATCGAATGAAATCTTCGTCGGCTTCCTGCAGCGCCGCGGCGGTGCGACGCGATCGCGCGATGCTCTGCATCAAATACTCTACATCCCAACCCTTCTCCACACGCACCATCCCGCGCCACCTGCATCTCCTCGCTCGTCAGCCCCTTGAAGGTCAAAAAGATCGACTACATCCGAGGGTTTCTCCGTTTCTACCGTGCTTTTCCCGTCCATTCCCTCCAACCGCACTATCGCGTCGCTCTTCCCGTCCTGCATTCGGCTCAAAACCCCGTCCAAAGGCAGCACGCCCTCCCCCAGCACCTCGCCCTTCCCCGTTTCCACACTTACCCGCAGTCCCGCCAGCACGGAAATGCCCATGGGACCGTCGCCCATTCGCTGGTTCTCGCCCCAATTCATCGGATTGGTCCGGAGATCACGTGTCACGAACTCCTCGCCTTCCACCTCCTGCTGGAAATTGTCCAGTCCCGTGACTCGCACATGGGTCGGTCTATCCCTCACGCCCCGCGGTTATCTCCACGCCAGCGACTTGCCTCCCTCCCAGTCATTCACGCAGACCTGCAATCCCGCGAAGTCTCCATACGCCACTCCATTGGGCGCCAGCGCTTCTAGTCCTCACCGAATTCGATCGAACTCCACCGGACACAATTCCGTACCCGAAGAACTTCCATCGAAGCAGCTCGCACAGCTGTTTCAACTCGTGCTTGTCCAGATCCAGCAGCGCGCACTCGTCGATCGTCCAGATTTCCTCGCTGCTTCCATTCAGAATCGCTCCCTTCGGAATGAAACGCTCGCCCGCACTCTCTATTTCTGGAGTTCCACGTTTCCACCCTACCGTCGATTCCCAGATCAAACTCGTTATCGTCTTCCGCGGGAATACGCTCCTTTCCGCTGCGAGCTGTGCCGTCCAATAGGATTCGGAACTGTTTCCGCGGTTTTTCGGGATTCCAAATGCGTTTATTCGCGGCACACGTCAAGCCTCCGAAGAGCTCCGAAATGAGATCGATAATCGCGGGAGTCGCCTTCTGGAGGGGCAGTTGATGGTGATTGACCCACGCGAACATGCGCTGGTCAAACTGCTTCGCTGCCTCGCTTTGCTGCTCGTCCATCTTCGATGAAACGCCCGTCCAAAACCGACCTGCACGTAGGTGGCGTAAGAATCGCGGGAAAGAACCCACAACAGCGAGTCATCGGCGATCTTCACAGTGTAGTTGCAGATTCCCGCGGGAAGCAGATACTCGGTTCCGAACGAAGTTCCCGGACCCAGAGACGCGATGATGACATCTTCGCCTACCTGTCAATCCTCCCGCGGTTTTCGCACCCTCCACCTCCATCGAAATATTCACCTTTCCCGCGATTATGTAAAACGCTGCCGCCAAATCGGCTCCAGGCGAAGCCAGCACTTTCCCGCGGTTCTTGCACACGGTTTTGAGCTGTGTGCGAAGCAGAGCGATCTACGCCTCACAAAGGGTAGAAACGTAGAAACGGCGTTCTGGTCGAAATCGCTAATGAGCCCATCGAGAATGGAGAGCAACGCCGTGATGGACTGTCCCTTCAGCAGGCGTTTCAGCGACATGGCGAGGAGCGGCGCGGTGGTCTGCATCTGCTTCAGCGCGTGGTCCGAGAGCGTCAACGCGACGCAGTCGGTCAGCGCGATGGCGGAGTAATAGCAGGCTTCCTGAAGAATGGCTTCGCCGCCGAGCCAGTCTCCCTTCTGCATCACGCCGATCTCATAAGCCTCGTTGACGCACTGAATGGACCCGCGCACCAGCACCATCAGCGACGCATTGGACGTGTCGCCCTCGCGCAGAAGCACCGTGTTCGAGCGAATCAGCGAGAAGGAGAAGAATCGGAGAAGCGTGGACACGTCCGATTCGCTGATTGGACGGAGCTTCCCGCGGGAATTCACGCAGAAACGGAAAAAGAGGCAGCGACTGATGTTCGAGAGAGCCGTTGCGGAGTCCACCGCGGGAATCAGCTGATTGTGAGGAGTGGAGCGAAAAGGGACCATTTTGGGAATGGGACATTTCTGAGCAGATGGTCCCATTCGAAGCAAAACGGCGCCAGCAACGGGGAAATGGTCGGAATCGCCGATTCGACGAACTGCGTCATATCTACAGAATTAAAAAAAATATAAAGGAGATTTGTGGAATTACTGGTACACAAAAACACGTGCATCGGGAACAGAATCGGTTCGCACTAAGATTCGGTCCGTGTATCTAGGGAATAGTGTTCCGAAACCCCCACGAAGGTGTTCGCTGTGTGTTGTCCCCCTTCATTCTCCACTCATAAGAATTCGCCACACGCGTCAAATCCGAGTAATCTCCAGGGTTGCCCAGATCGCCTTTCTATGATTCAGGAATTCCAAAAATAAAGCCTACGTATTTTTTATAGGTTGGAGCAAAGGAAGGAAGGTCCAATTCCTGGAATCCAGGGAAGGAAACGCCCATCGAAAGAGAGGGAAGAAGTTGGTCATTGTCAAGAAGAGCGGCTTGCGATTCTTTGTTGTGCAATCCCACGAAATTGTGAATGTGCTGAAGACACTAGTTGTTATACGCTCTAACAAGAAATCGAACTGTTTCAGGATCCATGGTGATTCGATAATTCAAGTCACCCATTAAAAACACAATTCCAGAGTCGTCGCTTTTTACAAATGCATCCACAAGCGCTCTACCCATCATCAATCAACCCCACTCCTTTCTCCTACACGGCATCCGCATTTCGCTTCTCCAGCTTCGACACTCCGTTCTGATCCGAAGCCAAATGGCAGCAAATGAAATCGATGTGGGTATTGTCCGAGAGCGAGTCATTCCACGAGTTTACATTGAGCGGACAACGAATGTGCACGCCGCCCTTATTTCCCGCTCGCGTGATGACCAAGTTCGCGCCTAAAGCGAGCGATTTGGTGGTGATGTCGTGGAAGGGAATGAGTCCGCATTGAATCAAATCGATTTTCACGAAAAGCTGCATGGAAAACAAACAGAAGAGCAATACAATCAGCGCGATGTAGCCGTGGAAACCCACCTCGCGGCGCGTGCTTCCTACTTTCTCCGTGATCGACACGTAGTCGCTTCCGATCACGCCGTTAATTCGGGTTTCGAGCTCAGGGAGGTCTGAATTGGAGGAACAACGCAGAAGGGATACGCATGCATTCTTCGACGCCGACAGCGATCAAATCGAAGAAATGAGGGATCCATTCTTCGATGTTGTAGGGAGGCTCGCATTCGCCCATGTTCCAGGTACCTGTCCACACGTTGAGAGACTGGGAGTGAGTGGGAAAGAGAGCAAAAGAAAACGAATGTATCGCCTTTGTCGCCTTTCAGATTGCGAAGAAGCGACGGGGTGAGCTTCGCGGAGAGCTGCTGCTGGGCTGCTGCGTGGTGTTTTGCAAGATCCGCTGGCTATGGGCAATTAGAACGAACAAGCAAAAAGTAAACTCGTCGGGTCTGGGGAGTAATGCCAATGCCAGGAGTTGTATAGTCGTCTTCGTCAATACAAGGGAAATCTCTTCCCTCCTCTCCCAAAAACTAGAATCAACGAAAAAAGAATAGGAAAACCTCGATGTTCGACTCAATTGCGTAAAACCAGTCACTGAAGTCAGAATCCAACACAGCTTCAAACTCGAAGTAGCGATCTTCATTTTCATTGTAGAGGTAAAACCGTTTCTGAATCTGCTCATCCTGATTTACAGAACATCCAAACAAGTTAATGCAAGCCTAAATGAAAGGAAAAAAGGGGTTTTACAATAGCATTGCTATCACCGGGGTTTTCATAGATAACCAAGCGATCCGGAAGTAAAACGGCACATCGTTTAGAATAGCTACTAGACCGAGCTCCCTTTTTCAATAAAAAACCACTTTTCACAACAGGTTCTTCAAAAGTGGGGACTGAGCGGTGGCTATCCATTGAAATCAAGAGAAACCAAAATACAGTCTCCGGTGACGCAGGCAAACATACTGGGGCATCTCGGCTCCCCTTCGCTTCAGGAACTGTCTTTTGCAGGTGCAACCCTTATGAATGCACTCCATATACACTAGTTCATCGGAATTGGACATTCTTACAGTATATGGCAAGATAATAATGATCTGTTCTTGCTTTCTAAGTTTGTGTGATATGGTATTTTGTGGAAAAATGATAGTAATATAATTGCTATTCCATTTTGGAACGGAACCAAGGGTATTAAAAGGCATTTTGAGTTACCATCTTTTGTACCCTTAGAAAAGGAAATAATAATAATAATAATAATAATAATATTATTATTATTAGTACTATGGTATACAGTACAAAAAGTGATTAGATCTGATATAGAAAAAGAAAAATGGCAAAAGTTGAGAGAGAGGGCTTTTTACAATTCTACAGAAAACCTTCCAGATCCATACCAAGATTTTACCAATATTTGTAGCTAATGTATACTACGTAAGCAGTGAATTTGCTATTAATAAACAAATGAATAAAAACGTAGAAAGAGTGTGGATATTTTCCCATTATCATACAGTGTGATGTTCTCCCTGAAGATACATAAAATATCACAGTTCTATTCCACTACCACACAATAAAATGAAAATTCACGATTCTTGATAACAGTCCTTGAAGAAAACCCTGCTTTCGCTTTATTCTTATACCCGCACAGTTCTTTACCTCACGAATGCAATACTCACACACTTCTCCAATAGGTACATATCGCTATTCTGCAAACGGATAACCACATTAATATCCCTTCATCTCATTAGAAAAATAAAAATAAAGCAATGCCTCAATGCCAGAAACCTAGGTATGATACGAACAATGTGAAAAAGTATTTCTATTCTTGTTCAGCATGGGAAATATCTTATCGGATGGATCAATAAGGGATGGCGACATGAACGCTATATGGAAAATAACGCAAGATAAGGCTTTTGACTTTAACGATCCGATCTGGACAGAAGTCTTCGAAGTAAAGGGCTATCTGCAGTCCATAAGTAAGTCCCACCTCCATACAATCACCACGAATTGGAGTCGAGAAATGAGTAGGAAGAAACAGCATTCTAACTAAATTTCTAGAGAAAAATACCGTTACCACGCACAATTTCGGTACTTTCATTCAACATATGAGTCAAGTTGTAATTGTAGTTCCTCGAAGACTATTGAAGTTTGTTTCTGTATTTCTACAGCGTTGATGTGATATCTAGAACGATGACTATCTGGATAACGTCCAGAAAGCTACAAATGCTCTTTTTCTTGCTCGCTGCTTCCTGAACACCTTTATGAAGGAGTGCACAGATGAGGAGCTGCTGGAAATCTTCGAAGTTCCAAAGATCTCCGATGCCATCATCACTCCCTCCAATTATTCTCGCGGTTGCTGCCTATTCGCCTCCTCACTCCTAGCAACTCTTATTCGTACATATGGGAAGACGTCCTACACACTCATTGAAACGGTGGTGGATGTAATCGTGTCGCATTCCCCCCAGCAGCAAACCAACAAACTCTACATGGAAGCTATGGGCGTTCTTATCACCTTATTCTCTCGAATGCTCCGAAACGTACCTCTGCTCTCTCCCTATCTGATTTCCAGAACGACATCGACCACGCCATTTCCGCGGTTTCTCCCTACTATTCTCCCTACTTCTTTTTGGACCTTCTATTCATTTGTTCCGGAATGCCCCTCATCGCTGAAACTCCCGCTACGAGACGGAAAGACGTCCCCCACTGGTCCGCCGTGCTGATCATGTCGCTGCTTCGCCGCATGTGTCAAAACGACGTAGACAAGCTCGACTCCGCGATGTAGTTTCTCCGTTTCCCCATTTAGAAGCAGATATGCGTCGGACATCCAGTCGCATTCCATTTTACTCTATCCGTTCCAATTGTTCGGGCTTCTTTTGCCGTCCTCCACCCTCCCCAACATCCGATCGCCTTCTGCAACGCGTTGCCAATTGCTTCTCAATCTCCTGCTTTGCGTGAACAGCACGACCCAAAACCCGTTCGAGCTCGCGTTGAACCGAATGGCGTCGCGCTTTGGCGGAGAGTAAACGATAGAAATAAGCGAAATACGGATATGCAGAACGAGGAAGCGGAAGAAGAGTGCTACATTTCGTTTGAGGAGCTGTACGAATTGATTTGTCGCGATCTTCAAGAGCCTCCCGTGTAAATACTGAAAAGGAGTGTGACATAGATCGATTCTGTTCTATCATCTGATCCACAAAGTTCCCTCCTTTTTGGAGTTTATTATCTCCAAATCGGAGTATGCCTTTCTTCCCAGCTTTTGCAGTTTGAATGGAGAGAAGGGTTGAAGCGTAGGATTGCTGTATCGATCGAATCAGTTGGGCGATGAACAGTTGTACTTGTTCTTAACGATTCTGCTTGCGTTTTCGCAGGTATTTCTTGTCTTGTTTGTTCATTTGCGAAGAACACTTCATTCATGAATTGTCTTTTCTCGCTCTCTGCTTCGTCGTCCGCTGATTATTCCTTCTTCACCGATCGAACCGACGAGGGAACCTGGTCAGTCGGCTGTCTAATCATAGTTCTGCTGATCCGTCTGCTTACAAAGCACATCCATCAAACGAACGTACACGACGAATCCTTTCGATGTTGTTCCAGGACTTCTATCTCCTCTCGTCGATTATGGCCGTTCTTTGCAACATGCTTCAGCAAGCCGTCGATCTCGACATGTCGGGCATTTCTCGCTTCGCTCATAGATAGATATACTTCGAGAAAACTCGTCGAGTTGCTTCTGTATCTGAATCGACGCTTCCAGCTCCTGAAGGTCCAACTCGAAACCCTTCCAGAAGACGAGTTAATCAATAAGTATAGCAATCCGATGAAGTGTAATGTAATGTAGTACTTCGGAAGTCTTTTCGTTCTATCTCGATGCCATTGCATCATTCCTCACTTCAGAGCGACCTTCGCTTAACGTTTGCTTTGTCTATGCTGGTTTCTCTGCTTCACACGCAGATCTACGAATTGCTCCGCCAGTACACTGCAGTCCGCACGATAACACAACATCCAGAGTTTAATCAGGTTACGACGATGATAATGATGGTTCTGGACTATTTAAACAACGCTTTGGAAGTGAATTCCGAATCCAAAAGCGTGGAAAAGCAAATCGTAGGTGGAAAATGAGGGAATGAAATGTAGTATTTCAATTATGATGCAGTTTTGGAGAAGTTGAAAGATGAAGTGAAGACATGGAGCTTTATGTATCGGAAAGGAAGTGCAAAATATGAGTTCGAAGATAGCAACTCTGCAACGTTCTTCTTGAGCTATTCCTGGAGTTTGCTGAAACGGTATGCCAGCGATCTTGAGTTTGTAAATTAGAGTATCGAAAGATGTTTGTTCTCGAGGCCTATCCTAAACCATTTTTGTAGAAAGTGAAACTACTTTTGTAGACGTGAAATTAGCAGAAATTATGAATCCACAACCAATCGACCGAGAATATGGCGATGCCTCAAAATGAATGAATTCTATGTGACATAGAATTCCATTGATCTCAGCTAACGTGTCATACCTCTAATTCAAAAAACGAATTTGATTCCTTTTCAATACTTATCATGTTAGTACGCTCAATATAGTGAATGGTGCTTGAAGTTAGAGGCAATAGAATACAGTAGCATGATTATGATCTAAGGGCCGTTGAATCGAAAGAATATGTTAAAATCCCATGAAAACGATTACTATTAGTATAGACATGCAAAATAACGATAGTATTGCTTCGTATCAGCCAACTCTTCTGCATATTGATTAATTTATAGTAAAATATTCTGTTTTCCTGAATGACAATTTTACAAATGTTGAATCCTTAGTTCTGCTGTAACTCAACATCTGCTTACATATGATCGATTTTCTGATTCATGATGATTATCAAGTACAATGATTTAGATAAACGCGCTAATCTAAACACCTTTCAAAACATAATTACAGCATAAAGACATGATTGATTATTCTTATTTCTCGTTTTCATGTCTATAATTAGTGAAGCGCACCGTAGATTTTTTTCATTTTCTCAAAGAATGACTTCATTCAATCACACACAATCTTCTGAAAATCTCTAGGATATATAGATAACATGGTTATTATCTTCGCAATATGCTGCAATAATGGTGACTGATGATTGTTGTGACCAAAGAAGCATGCTAATAAGTCTGGCACCGTAAGAAGTGACAATTTCCATAGATATAGAAAGTATTCCATTTCCTTCTTTACCCTTGTCCCTAACAATGAAATATCCAATTTGTCAGTATTCTACTTGCTTATGTTAAATCAAACTCATATATATGTATATCCATTTTTGAAGTATATATATAGTAACTAAAAAGATGTATCTGTTATCGCGAGTACATTAGCATATAATAGTGGAAAATGCAAGTATTTATCCATCATTTGTGATGGGATAAGAATAGAAATTCGAAAAAATATCATTACTAGCCTAAAATGACTAGAGTTGAGATTGAAATAGAAAACCTTCATGATATCATATTTTTCTTGTTATCCTTTAAGATTCGATGAAATAATGGTAATTGTAGACAACATCGGGCATCAATAGCAAAGCTCTTAGTGCCAAAGAAAAATGAACAACCAAGAGTACATTATTCGATGTATGGCGGATATTGAAACAAACATTCAAACAATCAGTAGTATCAGCAGTAACACTGGTCAACACTATAGTAATATACCTGCGAAATACAAATAGATACTATAATTAATCGTGAAAGTAGAAATGCCCCATTGCTGTAGTTTACATTACAAAATAAGTATTTCGATGCAAAATATCTGTGATTTTCTCAATTCTGCTATTGATAATTATTATTTTGAAAGTTCCTTTATCCAAAGTGTACAGACACGTGTGAATGAGAAATGGATAGTGGATGGCTGGATTTCACTCATTTTCAGTAATAGAAAATGTGTAGTATTGCAATTCGATAATGGAATATTTATGAATCAAGGATTTGTCCTCAATGAGCAAAAAGTAGTGATGGTAATTGGAAGTTACATCTTTGATGGTATCCCGTATAATGAACAATTTTTAGTGGAAGGAATAGTGGATATGGATCATGGAAGTCGATTTGAAGGACTGATATTGAGAGAAAACGAAGGTAAAATTGGAATTCCATTTGGATATGGTGAAATGTATAATGATGATGGAATATTGGTGTACAAAGGCATAATGATCAATTGGAAACGATTTGGCTATGGAACGAGTTATCATAATAATGGTTTGATTGAATATGAAGGATATTGGTGTGATGATAATCGATTTGGAATTGGAATCGTGTATGATCGAAAAAGAAGATTGATAAAGGATTGTATATGGTATAATGGAATTGAAAGTGATATTGAATATGAAGGAGATGGAAGCAAACCATTGAATATCGGAATGAAACATTTGAAACTGAGTAACAATTGTGTATTGGTTGATTGGGATGTTTCATTGTTTTACAATTTGGAATCAATCGAAATCGGCAATGAATGTTTTGGATCAGTGAAAACATTCAAAATGGATGAATTGGATCGATTGAAAACTATCAAAATCGGAAGCAATTCATTTACTCAGAGTAAGAAATATTATGGAGATGATGAATCGAAATCATTCCACATATTGAATTGTGAATCATTGGAATCCATTCAAATTGGTCAATATAGTTTCAGTGATTTTGGAGGCGACTTTGAATTGAAAAATCTACCACAATTACAATCCATTCAAATTGGTACAATTGGCAGTAAATCATGCAATTTCTATTATAGTTCATTTGTGATTCGAGGTACTACTATAATATTCAATGTTTGAATGCATAGATCTTCCAAATCTACAATCCATTACATTAGGTAATCGTGCATTCTCAGATTCCCTATCAACAATAATTGAAAGTATTGAATGAATTCGAATGAGTTGATTGATGTAGATCTTCCATCATTACAATCCATTCAACTCGGTGAAAGTGCACTTGCTGGAAAACATTCTGATAAATCATGCTTACTGATAATACGAAGTAATACTGAATTGAAATGAATTGATTAACTGTAGATCTTCCAATTCTAACATCCATCAATACTGAAAAACATAGTTTCTGTTATCCTCGTGTAGTGACATTGAAAAGTATTTCTGAATATTGAATATTGATAGTATTTAGATATTCCAAATCTTCGAAATGTCGATTTACCTGAATCATTTTACTCTCTTATATTGCCAGATGTTAAAAGTATATATTCAGCTAACTGTTATTTTTAGATGTTAACCATCAATTAGCTCAATTGTTTCCTACCACTACGAATAATTACAGTTTCATTCAATCTATAGATTCTACAGTGACTTCGATAATCATTCCAGATTGGACATGTAATGATAATGATTATGTGACATTTGATTTCTCGCGATTTTCCACGTTAGAATCAATTGAAATTGGAAACAATTGTTTTGGATCAGTGGAAAAATTCAAAATCGATGGATTGAGTCGATTGAAAACTATCAAAATAGGAAGCTATTCATTTACTCAAAAGAAGAAGTATTGGGGAAGTAAAGAATGGAAATCATTCCAAATATTGAATTGTAGATTATTGGAATCCTTTCAAATTGGAGAATTTAGTTTCAGTGATTTTGCTGGAGACTTTGAATTGAAGAATCTACCACAATTACAATCCATTCAAATTGGTACAATTGGCAGTAAATCATGCAATTTCTATTATAGTGATCTAAAAATTGATGGTATTGATATAATAGTGAGTATTTCAAATTATTAGATCTGCCAAATCTGCAATCCATTACATTTGGTGATTACGCATTTTTAGAGACTACATTTATAGTAATCGAAAGTATGGAGAAATGAAAATGTTATGATAATGTAGATCTTCCATCATTACAATCCATTCAACTTTGTGAGAGTGCGCTTTGTGGACAATTGGAAAACAGAAATAATGCATTGTATATGCGAGGTAATAAAACAAGGAATAAATTGATTGACTGTAGATTTGCCAAATCTAACGTCTATTATTAATGCTAAAAAAGGAGGTTTTGATAATATTTGTTCAGTAATATTAAAAAGTAATTCTAACTATTGGAAATAAATGCATTTAGATATTCCAAATCTTCAAAATGTTGATCTCCCTCGCTCATTTTATTATGTTCAAGAAAAATCAATTTCAAGTATTGCTCTCTTGCTTGAATTTTATTCTTAGATGTTTCTTCTATTCTCGCTGATCTTGTTCAAATCAATGACGACCCTTTTTTATTTCATTAATTTGACTAATCTAAAGGATATATGTATGATGATTTGACATTTACACCCTATTCTTTGTTATATCTATTATTAGTCCATTATATCTTTGCTTTTGCTATTTATACAGTCAATTTAAAAGTAGATTATCTCTATTTTAATCAGATATGATTGTAATTAACTCAATAGTACTATTTGTCGGATAATGCCATGAATCTATTAATAATCACTTTTGGGACTGTTTTCCAAATTTCTGTGGAGCTGCTGACATTGCATATCTTTACAATTAGAATTGCAGTACGTGTTTAGCGAGCAGTACACGTAGTTAGTATATGTAATTCGCGTCAAATACGACATGTGAAAGGACGATTGACATCACTCCTCTCTACAACTATCTGGAATCAATCACATTCCAATTGATTATATTAATATCAAGTTGATTAATTATTGCTTTGTAATGAATTGAGAAGCAAGCAAATAAATGATTGTTCCATTGATTGAGAGGTAAACTCACACTTACTTTCAATACAATTCTATCGGATTCAATTACATTTAAGTTTCACTGCCCTAGTTTATCAGTTCTACTCCGATCTCGACGTTTTTATTTGCAATGATTTATTCCTATTCGATGTTTTAAATAAACAGCAATCATTGTATTGTAATGCGTTGTACTGTATTTTTTATCTACTCTTTTATTAGTGGAACCATAAATGCGAATCGTGATAGCAAATCAATCGATTTGAACCTTTTCATTCTGTCACTGTCATGTACAATATTGCTTGTTTGCAGCAACCAGTTTACTATCAATAATTAACAAATCTTAGATAAAACCTATTCACATTATCAATTGAATTGTGGGGAGATTGGATTGATTTAGAAGTGTTTAGTATGCGACAATTGCTTTATTGGATTAACGATAATTAACCATGATGAATTGAAACAACAATCAGAATTCAGAACCATTGTAGTAATAATCAGAAAACCATATTCTCAGGTAGGATTGACCATTACATGAAAAAAATGTCTTTATCATGATCTATAATTGTTTGAAAACAATCAGGCAGTTATAATGTTTTGATGCAATACAGAATGGTATACTTTTCAATTTAAATCGATTTTCCCAATCAAAGAAAACAATACATTCAATTCCTATATACCATTCACATTCATTCACTAATTTACCATATCGATCATACACTTTTCCAATTCCAAATCGATTATCATCACACCAATATCCTTCATATTCAATCAAACCATTATTATGATAACTCGTTCCATAGCCAAATCGTTTCCAATTGATCATTATACCCTTGTACATCAAGAATCCATCATCATCATACATTTCACCATATCCAAATAGAATTCCAATATTACCTTCGTTTTCTGCCAATATCAATCCTTCAAATCGACTTCCATGATCCAAATCCACGATTCCTTCTACTACTACTACTATGGATTGTTCTTCATTATATGAAATAGCACCAATTTGATGATTTCCAAACACTTTCAACACTTTCTGTTCATTGAGTACAAATCCTTGATCCATGAATACTCCATTATCGAATTGCAATACTATACATTCTCTATTACTCAATATGAGTGAAATCCAGCCATTTGGTTTCATTTCTTTACCCAAGAATCCCTGCACATTTTGAATTATGGAACTATCAATATGATAGTCGTTAAAACAGAATTGGCAAAATCAGCAATGTTTTGCATCAAACGATAATATTATGGAATTACACTTATTCCACAATTTCAACAAGAATCTTGGTATAATATATAGGTCTTATAATAGTATTATAAAAATGGCGCCTCACGCGCGGAGACCTTTGGCCGAAAAGGCGGCCAAAGATGCCCTCCAGACCCACTCAACTACAAGCTGGTCGTCCGAAGTCACCCCTCAAACCCCATCTACCATTGCTCACTATAGTGCACTTGGTTTTCTTTGGCTTTCATAAGAAATAGGGGCAACTACATTGCCCCGAAAGAAATCGGAGATTCCTCCCTAAATAAGGGTCGAAAAATAAGCTTAGCTTGCCTTGGCTGCCTCAAAGACCACGGTGCAAAACGCATGCAAACTGATAGCTGCCATTTTCTACCCTGTTGACCAAAGCGAATTATAACTCGTCTTTACTGCATACTCTTCAATCGGTAATGCCCGAATGTCAGTGTGTGCACGTTGTCGTCCAAGATCCATCGTTTGTTGTTCGTGCAAGTCATGAGGGTCTTGGTTTGTTCCCTCGTGATAATATCGAAGGCCTGGTTGTTGATGCGTTTGAAGCTGCCTTGCTCACTGCATCTCCCTTCTTTTCTGCCTCAAAAGCAAGTTTGTACAAATCGATGTTCTTCACGCTCATTCTCTCACCATCGATCACCACATTACGAGGAACTCCCTTTGCTGCATTGTTCACAACATGCTTTTCATCCACGAGGCAGAACATCTTCGGTCTCAGTCCAACAAACTCCTTGATACGATGTCCGTTGTGCTCGTCCTTGAAGATAGGGCCAGGCAGCTTCTTGTTGAAGTTGAGGAACGATTCCAATGAAGGGAACTTGCTCTTGTTCACTTCATGCTCATAGTACTTCACGTGTTCTCCATAGAAGTAGCTCGTGTTGTCCAATTCCGAGAAGCCGAATGACTTGTACATGTCACACATCTTGTAAACGATATTACTCTTATCACTCAGCTACACGATGAGTGAGTCCGTGTCCTGTCCCGATAACTTCACGTTATCGAATGTGTTCTTGAACATATTGTAGTAAAAATCGTAGATGATGTGTTTGGACATGTCGAGAATGGCAAACCCGATGAAGAATGGCTTCTCGACCTTTCTTACCGGTGTATTCAACTTGATGCCGATCAGATTCTCGGAATACATGGTAGTTCCAGCAATCATGTGATACCCATGCTTCTGAATGATGGCCTCGCGTTCATTCCATGTGATAGCAAACTTCACTTTCATCCGTTTCAACCCAGTCTCCACGAATTTGCCATAGGTCGAGTTTGCCAACAGCTTGTACAGGTTCTTCTCCACGGTGGTCTTAGACTTCGCTCGTTTCTCACTCAGCATGTTCACATATTCGAATATGAATAGTGCCTGCTTGAATCGAATGAGGTGGTGAATGTGTGTGACACGATATCCCTGTTGAACACCAAGTTGCAACAGTGAGTAATGCACGAGATACTTTTGACGAGGCACAAGATCACAGATGAGCTTCGGCGTATTCACCTCTTTCACTTTGTCCACAATGTCGTTCTTCTCAGCATACTTCTTGATTCCATCAGAGTACATGCCTGCCTTCTGTACGGGGAAGAATGGCAGATCATTGAACTTGTCGTGGAGTTCCACTGGTGCCTCGATGTCACACTCGACGAAGAATCCATACTTGCCGAACGTCTTGAGTGATTGCACCCATCCATTCGGGTCACGATTGATCTTCTCCATCACTTCTCGTCGCTCGGGTACACCCACCAACTCATAAGGCATCATTCGATGCATGGCTCCACCATACAGGTTGTTGGCGTCCAGGTAGTAGATGCCTTCACTGCACGCCGTTGCTTGCTTCTTGTTGTCAATGTCAACCTTGGCATGTCGTTTCACGATCTGTGTGATACCTCCTCGCAGGTTCTTCAACAATAGCATGAAGTCATCGACTTCATTTGTTTCCATCAATCGAATGCCCTTGCTATCATAGAATTCACCCATGCGGTTCAAGAACACTTTCACCAGTTGTTTCTCGGCGAGTCCCTCATTCGCGTTGATGTGCATGATGTACTGAGCCCACTTCCTTGCGAGGGTCATGAGGCTACTCTCACTATGATCGCCCTCCATTGTGACCTTCAAGAATAGCGAATATGCCATTTGTGGTGCTGTGATGTAATGCATTGGATCAACACCGAATGCATTCAGTGTGGTATTTCGGAAATGCTCGAATGCATCAGCCATGAGAGTCACATCGAGTACATTGTACAATTCGTAATATTCACCCCATGTCTTGATATCGAAGGTCTTCCACAGCTTCACCATGTGATCATATTCGTCTTGTGGCATCATCTCTCCCTTCATATCATCAATGCATTGCTCACGAGATGGAATGACGGTATTGTTCAATGACTCGTATGATTTGATGAGACTGTAGAACATGGGTTCCTTCCGTGTCAACAAATCGATGTTATTGTCACTCCATTGCTTGCCTCGAGACTCGCAGTACTTGCATTGTTGTTGTTTGGTGTGCACGTACAAATCGAGGTTGCCCCCAAGTGTCTGTGCAACGATGGAACGCAGTGGACTGCTGATGAGTTTCAACGAGTCCTTGAATTGAATGCCATTGTACTCAATCTGCATTTTTTTGTCTTCAGTGATGGGAATGACTTCCAAATCTCCAGGCATTGTGGCGATGAGTTTCATGATGAATGTGAAATCGTAGTTAGACCCATTGTGGAAGTAGACTGGCAAACGATAGTTCTTCTTGTTGAACGAGAGCTGCAGGTTACACTTGGTACAACAGGTGCAAATGTACTGCCCAGCTTTGAAGCTGCATATCCCTCCTTCCCTGTGGTGTATTCACCTGCCACATGTGCATGATGTCTAACCTTGGGCACTTTCATAGAATCGTCAATTTCCCCGTCGTCCAGTTTCACATGGCAGAAGGGACACACGGTTGTTGCACGAAAGACCCTCTCGATGCTCGGAGAGTTCTCGAGGGGAAATTCATTGAACAGATATGACTTCAGACTCTCGTGCAATTGTGTGAGATAGTCCATGAAAGGACAAAGCTCTTCTTCGCTCTTGTGTGGTGTATGGAAGACTCGTAGCTGGGTATCAATGGCTGGAATGCGTGACACGGCTAGACAGGATAACATGACTCGCTTGTGTGTGTTCTTGTCATCAATGGCTGACTCGAAGTCAGCGTACACGACGACAGCTGCTGGCATTTCGTATCACTGGTTTGTGAATCGTAACCGAGTTTCCTCGTTCGACAAGTCGTACTCTTCGCTTTCATTGACGAGTTCTCGATGTGCTTGTACTTCGTGAGCATGAACGGCTTTGCAAGATCCGAAGAAGTCGTCACAGAATCTGCACTTCGTGTTTCTTGCGAGATTTCTATAATTCTTCGCATCACTCTGACGAAAGATACGATGTTTGAAACCGCTCAAATCCTTGATGTACAAGAAGTGCTTGGGGTTTTTCCCCCTCTTGTGTGTCATTCACGATGCAAAGCGATACACTTCCTCCATTGCCATTCGGCTTGTATATCTGAGAGCTCGTGAATAAATCTACTTACCCTTGGTCTTGTCATCGTATCCAGGTAAGAGAGTGAATTCGAAGACATTGAAAGAGACTTTCAACAGTTCTTCCAATCTCGCAAAATTCTCTTCACTTTGATCGAATGCCTTGTTATCGCGAATGTCCATTGCTACCTCCACCTCATGAATTGTCACTCCGAATACCTTGTACTTGTCAGGTTGTTTCCACCACTTGTTGTACACACTCGCATCGCATATGTTGCGATTTGTGATGATCTTGTGTCCGCCTTCACTTGCCAGAATGAGATATCGTTGCAGGCATCGGTTGTCATAGATATTGGGGGTGACCGCTGTCTGTCCAAAGATCAAAGGTGTATGATGTTTTTAACCCACGAATGTACGAAGTGGGAACATTTCGACATGGAAACCGATCCAATTACAGTACTCAAATCCACTTCCTTCGATCTCCTGTTCCTTCATGGCATTTTTGAACCATTTCAGATAATCCTCCAACCACTCGTCGTTGCGTTCTCGGCGTATAATACGAAGGTGTCCCAATCGATCATCGGTGTGATTGAGTGTCTTGGCTTCTCCGGCATGTGTCCACATGAGATTGTATGCTATGATAGTGATAATACACTGGGATAATCGCGCATGTTATTCAAGATGTACTTCTTCGCTACCTCATTGAACTGATCCATCTCGTTCATCATCGAGTTTATCGGTTCCACTTCCTCTTCGCTCTTTCCATCCGGTAGTCGAACCCATAGTCTTTTGTCACCATCGTTCTTGAGACGAAAGTCCTTCTTGGTTCGTTTCTCATTTATCCATTCCTTGTACATGTTCTTATCTATGGTATGATAATACATGAGTGTATATCCGAGTGACGAGTCGATCACATCCGACAAGCGTCCTTCTGCGACTTTGCAATTGAACGGAGTGAAGAACTTGTTTCGTCGTGTTTGACGTCTCTTCTTTACCGTATTCATGAATTCAGGCAACGGTTGTTTTCGCTTCTCACCGAATTCATGTCCATTCCACTCATATTCGAGATATCGCTCGTTCCATGTCTTGCTTCCAACAATCAGATACTTACGCTCTCCTTTGGGATCACCAACTCGTTTCCGAGGAATTGCTTGTTTTGGTTTCTTTGTTGCCTCCATTGACCTCATATTCTCATCCATACCTTGTTTGACACATACACTCGTGAATCAGGAATGGTCTGATCGGTGAACTTCCCATCGATCATTTAATACTTGACTCCCAATCGCTTCCAGATTTGAGTGTCAATCTTGATCTTTCGTCTAGTCTCAGGGTTGATAGTATATCCGTCGCAATGAGTATCCATTTATATATAGGTGACAAATTCTTTA